TTCACTTTAATGCATTACTTAATTTTTGAGATAGTTTGTAAACCAAGAATATCGTTTTCGAGCAAAAGCGAGGAAAATGATCGGTTTGGACTGAGACTGCATCCTATCGTCAAGTTTTTCTCTGCGTTGACACAAGACACTGTTAAGGGAGAGAAAAACAATATTTTGTCTAAATCTTCTGTCTAGTTTGTCTATTTTTCATGATAAATCACCTGGCCATCGTTCACTTTAATGCATTACTTAATTTTATGAGATAGTTTGTAAACCAAGAATATCGTTTTTGCGCAAAAAGTGAGGAAAATGGTATGTTTGGACTGGGACTGCATTCTATCGCCAAGTTTTTCTCTGCGTAGACACAAGACACTGTTCAGGGAGAGAAAAACAATATTTTGTCTAAATCTTCTGTTTAGTTTGTCTATTTTTCATGATAAATCACCTGGCTATCGTTCAATTTAATGCATTACTTAATTTTTGAGATAGTTTGTAAACCAAGAATATCGTTTTCGAGCAAAAGCGAGGAAAATGATCGGTTTGGACTGAGACTGCATCCTATCGTCAAGTTTTTCTCTGCGTTGACACAAGACACTGTTCAGGGAGAGAAAAACAATATTTTGTCTAAATCTTCTGTCTAGTTTGTCTATTTTTCATGATAAATCACCTGGCCATCGTTCACTTTAATGCATTACTTAATTTTATGAGATAGTTTGTAAACCAAGAATATCGTTTTTGCGCAAAAAGTGAGGAAAATGGTATGTTTCGACTGGGACTGCATCCTATCGCCAAGTTTTTCTCTGCGTAGACACAAGACACTGTTCAGGGAGAGAAAAACAATATTTTGTCTAAATCTTCTGTCTAGTTTGTCTATTTTTCATGATAAATCACCTGGTCACCGTTCACTTTAATGCATTACTTAATTTTTGAGATAGTTTGTAAACCAAGAATATCGTTTTCGATCAAAAGCGAGGAAAATGATCGGTTTGGACTGAGACTGCATCCTATCGTCAAGTTTTTCTCTGCGTTGACACAAGACACTGTTAAGGGAGAGAAAAACAATATTTTGTCTAAATCTTCTGTCTAGTTTGTCTATTTTTCATGATAAATCACCTGGCCATCGTTCACTTTAATGCATTACTTAATTTTATGAGATAGTTTGTAAACCAAGAATATCGTTTTTGCGCAAAAAGTGAGGAAAATGGTATGTTTGGACTGGGACTGCATTCTATCGGCAAGTTTTTCTCTGCGTAGACACAAGACACTGTTCAGGGAGAGAAAAACAATATTTTGTCTAAATCTTCTGTTTAGTTTGTCTATTTTTCATGATAAATCACCTAGCCATCGTTCATTTTAATGCATTACTTAATTTTTGAGATAGTTTGTCGTCCAGGACTATCGTTTTTGCGCAAAAAGTGAGGAAAATGGTATGTTTGGACTGGGACTGCATCCTATCTCCAAGTTTTTCTCTGCGTAGACACAAGACACTGTTCAGGGAGAGAAAAACAATATTTTGTCGAAATCTTCTGTCTAGTTTGTCTATTTTTCATGATAAATCACCTGGCCATCGTTCACTTTAATGCATTACTTAATTTTATGAGATAGTTTGTAAACCAAGAATATCGTTTTTGCGCAAAAAGTGAGGAAAATGGTATGTTTGGACTGGGACTGCATTCTATCGCCAAGTTTTTCTCTGCGTAGACACAAGACACTGTTCAGGGAGAGAAAAACAATATTTTGTCTAAATCTTCTGTTTAGTTTGTCTATTTTTCATGATAAATCACCTGGCTATCGTTCAATTTAATGCATTACTTAATTTTTGAGATAGTTTGTAAACCAAGAATATCGTTTTCGAGCAAAAGCGAGGAAAATGATCGGTTTGGACTGAGACTGCATCCTATCGTCAAGTTTTTCTCTGCGTTGACACAAGACACTGTTCAGGGAGAGAAAAACAATATTTTGTCTAAATCTTCTGTCTAGTTTGTCTATTTTTCATGATAAATCACCTGGCCATCGTTCACTTTAATGCATTACTTAATTTTATGAGATAGTTTGTAAACCAAGAATATCGTTTTTGCGCAAAAAGTGAGGAAAATGGTATGTTTGGACTGGGACTGCATTCTATCGCCAAGTTTTTCTCTGCGTAGACACAAGACACTGTTCAGGGAGAGAAAAACAATATTTTGTCTAAATCTTCTGTTTAGTTTGTCTATTTTTCATGATAAATCACCTGGCTATCGTTCAATTTAATGCATTACTTAATTTTTGAGATAGTTTGTAAACCAAGAATATCGTTTTCGAGCAAAAGCGAGGAAAATGATCGGTTTGGACTGAGACTGCATCCTATCGTCAAGTTTTTCTCTGCGTTGACACAAGACACTGTTAAGGGAGAGAAAAACAATATTTTGTCTAAATCTTCTGTCTAGTTTGTCTATTTTTCATGATAAATCACCTGGCCATCGTTCACTTTAATGCATTACTTAATTTTATGAGATAGTTTGTAAACCAAGAATATCGTTTTTGCGCAAAAAGTGAGGAAAATGGTATGTTTGGACTGGGACTGCATTCTATCGGCAAGTTTTTCTCTGCGTAGACACAAGACACTGTTCAGGGAGAGAAAAACAATATTTTGTCTAAATCTTCTGTTTAGTTTGTCTATTTTTCATGATAAATCACCTGGCCATCGTTCATTTTAATGCATTACTTAATTTTTGAGATAGTTTGTCGTCCAGGACTATCGTTTTTGCGCAAAAAGTGAGGAAAATGGTATGTTTGGACTGGGACTGCATCCTATCGCCAAGTTTTTCTCTGCGTAGACACAAGACACTGTTCAGGGAGAGAAAAACAATATTTTGTCGAAATCTTCTGTCTAGTTTGTCTATTTTTCATGATAAATCACCTGGCCATCGTTCACTTTAATGCATTACTTAATTTTATGAGATAGTTTGTAAACCAAGAATATCGTTTTTGCGCAAAAAGTGAGGAAAATGGTATGTTTGGACTGGGACTGCATTCTATCGCCAAGTTTTTCTCTGCGTAGACACAAGACACTGTTCAGGGAGAGAAAAACAATATTTTGTCTAAATCTTCTGTTTAGTTTGTCTATTTTTCATGATAAATCACCTGGCTATCGTTCAATTTAATGCATTACTTAATTTTTGAGATAGTTTGTAAACCAAGAATATCGTTTTCGAGCAAAAGCGAGGAAAATGATCGGTTTGGACTGAGACTGCATCCTATCGTCAAGTTTTTCTCTGCGTTGACACAAGACACTGTTCAGGGAGAGAAAAACAATATTTTGTCTAAATCTTCTGTCTAGTTTGTCTATTTTTCATGATAAATCACCTGGCCATCGTTCACTTTAATGCATTACTTAATTTTATGAGATAGTTTGTAAACCAAGAATATCGTTTTTGCGCAAAAAGTGAGGAAAATGGTATGTTTCGACTGGGACTGCATCCTATCGCCAAGTTTTTCTCTGCGTAGACACAAGACACTGTTCAGGGAGAGAAAAACAATATTTTGTCTAAATCTTCTGTCTAGTTTGTCTATTTTTCATGATAAATCACCTGGCTATCGTTCAATTTAATGCATTACTTAATTTTTGAGATAGTTTGTAAACCAAGAATATCGTTTTCGAGCAAAAGCGAGGAAAATGATCGGTTTGGACTGAGACTGCATCCTATCGTCAAGTTTTTCTCTGCGTTGACACAAGACACTGTTCAGGGAGAGAAAAACAATATTTTGTCTAAATCTTCTGTCTATTTTTCATGATAGCTCATTTGAGCTCCTTTTGCTCAAATAATGACTATTCAGTACAAAAATCCTTCATCAATCTAGCCATATACTCTTTATTTGGCCCAAACAGTGATAATGCGTACGAATTCATGCAATTTATGAACAAGTGGTACCGAAAACAGCTGCCACTTTTGTATACGTGCAAGTTGTGGTTCACACTCGATCACCTTGCACGTATTCAAAAGTGCAACTTTTTTGGGTACCATTTGTCAAAAATTGCATAACTTTGTAACACATCATGTTTTGGGTAAACCAAGAAGTATGGCTGGATTGCTAAGGAATTTCTGTACTGATCAGTCGTAATTTGAGCAAGATATGTCCAGTAGTTTTTGACTGAGTTAAGGGGGGGGGGGGGTAATAGTTAAGTAATGAGGGGACTTTCTTTTTTGGTTGAGTGTATCAGGCTTCCAGTATCCATTGCATTAAAGCCGCACTCAACATAATCGCCACACAGGTCCTTCAACTCCTGTCTCACTGCGTTCAGATCAGCAACCTAAAAAAAAAAAAGGTTGGAGAAAAACCACCTTTTGAGTCATTTTTTTCCGACCTACAATATGTCCCTCCCCCAACCATGTCCGGTTTACAAGGGAACCAACGTGTCGATTCTCATGAATGCTTTGTAACAAACAATGAAATGACATAATTATTAACCTATTTCGAAAGGCATTTGCTAACTTTGCACAAATGCCTGCTAAATGGTGAATTTGAATGACCAAACTTACACAGCTGGGAGCTCCGGCGAATTTGGATGCTCGTTTGTGCAATTTTAATTTGAATGCCCTGTTGTTAAAATGGCATGATTAAAATGTGAAATCACATGCTTCAAATGTTAAATTGATTGGTGTTTTTAGCTAATTGAATGTTGAACTCAACGCGCATTCAAATTCGTGCGAACATGAGTGATTGGTCACCAATTTGGCCGCCAAATCTGCTAACTTGGCCGGGAAAACCTATACCAACCACGGGAATGACAGCACAGCAAGATGAATTCAAAGGTTATTTTTGCGAAATTGGCCGGGAAAACCTATGTTTGTATTGCTTGACAATTTCCACCAATATTCAACAGATTTGTGTTAGATATCACTACTAATCACTAGACAGAATTTCAATTGAACACAGCATGTAATTCTTTAGTTACCGATCTGGTTATTTTCTCATGACACATAATATTCCATAATGAGAAAAATCCTTGACAAAGATGTGGTGACGTATGACCACTAGGTAGTGTAGCGCGCCCTCTTTTGAAAGAAAATTTAATGGTAGGGGTTTGCATTGCGACGTAGATGATACACTGGGTCCTACTAAAGCGCGTCAACAAGCGTCAACAAGCGTCAACAAGCGTCAACAAGTTTAAGTAGTCGTTAAGTGCGCGTCAACAAATTTTGTATAGGCCTTTGAACAATAAAAACAGCTTTATATGGTAGAAAAGGCAATAATGAACATCTTCTGCATATCAATTAAAGTTAAAATTACTTAAAAAGTGGTTTTCCAGCGCAAAATCTACGACGGGTTTTTCGGTTTAGTATTGGCCGCCATCTTGTTTGAGATCTACATACTACGCATGCGTGGAGTGTACCATTCATGCATAGGGGTTTCTTTATACGATACGCTTAGCGATACCTCGTTTGGTTTTTGCATTGGGATTTTTTGGCAGACATTCTGAACAGTGTCAGTAGGCATATTTTTCAAATAATTAGCCAAGTACCGTGACCAAGTTTTGCATAATTTATAATTGAAAAAAAAAGTAGTTTTCCTACTTTCCTGTAAAGAAACCCCTATGCGTGAATGGTACACTCTACGCATGCGTAGTACGTAGATCTCAAACAAGATGGCGGCCAATACTAAATCGAAAAAATCCGTTGAAGATTTCGCTCTGGAAAACCACTTTTTAAAATAATTTTAACTGTAATTGATATGCAGAAGATGTTCATTATTGCTTTTTCTACAATATAAAGCTGTTTTTATTGTTCAAAGGCCTATACAAAATTTGTTGACGCGCACTTAACGACTACTAAAACTTGTTGACGCTTGTTGACGCTTGTTGACGCGCTTTAGTAGGACCGGATACACTAGCTTTTAAGCTTCTAGCCTATTCCTGATCCTCCAGATGGGATGATAATTGATCAAGGATCGTATTCGTACCCTTGGTCTGGATAAAAGGTTTGTGTGTTTATAGCCCCATGGTCATTGCAAGTATCAAAAAGGTTTAACCTACACTTACCATGCTTTACAGATCGGAAAGAATGTATCCTGACGCCACTTCTCTGGTTGTGTGTGTACACATGAAAATGAAAAAGTCATGATATTGGATGGCAATGTACGCGTACAATTTACAAATCATGTAGGGAGGGGGGGGGGGGGGGGCTAGGCCTTTATGTTGCAGCGTAACTAGGAATCAACGGATTTGCAAATTCGGTGCGCCGAAACTAGAAATTTTAATTTCGGTATTGCATTTCTAAATCCGGTGAGGTACTGTCTCGTTCACGAACATAACATGGCACGGCCGGTAAAACAAGGATTGTTTTTGTTACTATTTATTAATGGAAGGCCCTAAAAATTAAGTACCGGTATTTGGTGTTAAGCTTAAGAAAATTTAGGTAGTTATGTCAAGCATATCAGGAATATGTATTTAGGCATAAAATTGCATTGTTGCTGTGTAAATTCCAAGGAAATTTTGAAACGTTTTGCCTCAAACAAATTTCCTCTATTTTATCAGCGGTGTGAAGTTGGTTACTTATTCCGCGTTCCTTGTTCGACATTCGCACGCTAAACACTACATGTACAAATCATGCATAGAGTGTATCCAAAGCTGCATATACACATTCGCAAACGGCTCATAGACTGGTTTCCTATCCCGCTAGGCCCAGGAACACTTTGTTTTGCCACACATTTTCGTACAACAGAGACCTCTTTTAGGCATGAAGAACACTTTGGACCGGGAAAGGCTGGAAGTAGGGGGATGCATGAGGACCTGGGAAACTGGAAAATAATGGGTCTGACCTGGTCCAAGGGGTTTCAGTATTTTTTTCATATTTTTGAAAAAGACAAATCTACGGCGATTTTAATGCACATTTTCCCAAATGTTTGTGTACAAAATCGGCGCTCTCAAAGAAATTCCTTTTAATCATGAAGAACGCGGCTTGGACCGGGCAAGGCTGGATGTAGGAGGATGCAAGAGGACCTCAGGAACTAGAAAAAAATAAGTCTGACCTGGTCCAAGGGGTTTCAGTATTTTTTAAATATCTTTGAAAAAGACTTAATTCTACGGCGATTATAATGCACGTTTTCCCATATGTTTGTGTACATAATCGGCGCTCTCAAATAAATGCCCCTTTAAGCATGAAGAACGCCTTGGACCGGGCAAGGCTGGATGTAGGAGGATGCAGGAGGACCGGAGGAACTTGAAAATAGTGGATCTGACCTGGTCCAAGGGGTTGGAATATTTTTTTCCATATTTTTGAAAAAGACTTAAATCTACAGCGATTTTAATGCACGCTTTTCCATATGTTTGTGTACATAATCGGTGCTCTCAAAGAAATGTCCCTTTAAGCACGAAGAACGTCTTGGACCGGGCAAGGCTGGATGTAGGAGGATGCAGGAGGATCGGAGAAACTTGAAAATAGTGGATCTGACCTGGTCCAAGGGGTTGGAGTATTTTTTTCATATTTTTGAAAAAGACTTAAATCTACGGCGATTTTAATGCACGTTTTTCCATATGTTTGTGTACATAATCGGCGCTCCCAAAGAAATATCCCTTTAAGCATGAAGAACGCCTTGGACCGGGCAAGGCTGGATGTAGGAGGATGCAGGAGGATCTGGGGAACTTGAAAATTATAAGTCTGACCTGGTCCAAGGGGTTGGAATATTTCTTCCATATTTTTGAAAAAGACTTAAATCTACGGCGATTTTAATGCACGTTTTTCCATATGTTTGTGTACATAATCGGTGCTCTCAAAGAAATCTCCCTTTAAGCACGAAGAACGTCTTGGACCGGGCAAGGCTGGATGTAGGAGGATGCAGGAGGACCTGAGGAACTGGAAAATAGTGAGTCTGACCTGGTCCAAGGGGTTAAAATATTGGTTTCATATTTTTGAAAAAGACTTTAAATTTACGGCGATTTTAATGCACGTTTTTCCATATGTTTGTGTACATAATCGGCGCTCCCAAAGAAATGCCCCTTTAAGCATGAAGAACGCCTTGGACCGGGCAATGCTGGATGTAGAAGGATGCAGGAGAACCTGGGGAACTTGAAAATAATAAGTCTGACCTGGTCCAAGGGGTTGGAATATTTTTTTCATATTTTTGAAAAAGATTGAAATCTACGGCTATTTTAATGCACGTTTTCCCCTATGTTTGTGTACATAATCGGTGCTCTCAAAGAAATCTCCCTTTAAGCACGAAGAACGTCTTGGACCGGGCAAGGCTGGATGTAGGAGGATGCAGGAGGACCTGAGGAACTGGAAAATAGTGAGTCTGACCTGGTCCAAGGGGTTAAAATATTGGTTTCATATTTCTGAAAAAGACTTAAATCTACGGCGATTTTAATGCACGTTTTTCCATATGTTTGTGTACATAATCGGCGCTCCCAAAGAAATGCCCCTTTAAGCATGAAGAACGCCTTGGACCGGGCAAGGCTGGATGTAGAAGGATGCAGGAAGACCTGGGAAACTTGAAAATAATAAGTCTGACCTGGTCCAAGGGGTTGGAATATTGTTTTCATATTTTTGAAAAAGATTGAAATCTACGGCTATTTTAATGCACGTTTTCCCCTATGTTTGTGTACATAATCGGTGCTCTCAAAGAAATCTCCCTTTAAGCACGAAGAACGTCTTGGACCGGGCAAGGCTGGATGTAGGAGGATGCATGAGGACCTGGGGAACTGGAAAATAGTGAGTCTGACCTGGTCCAAGGGGTTGAAATATTGGTTTCATATTTTTGAAAAAGACTTTAAATCTACGGCGATTTTAATGCACGTTTTTCCATATGTTTGTGTACAAAATCGGCGCTCTCAAAGAAATTCCTTTTAATCATGAAGAACGCGGCTTGGACCGGGCAAGGCTGGATGTAGGAGGATGCAAGAGGACCTCAGGAACTAGAAAAAAATAAGTCTGACCTGGTCCAAGGGGTTTCAGTATTTTTTAAATATCTTTGAAAAAGACTTAATTCTACGGCGATTATAATGCACGTTTTCCCATATGTTTGTGTACATAATCGGCGCTCCTAAAGAAATTTCCCTTTAAGCATGAAGAACGTCTTGGACCGGGCAAGGCTGGATGTAGGAGGATGCAGGAGGACCGGAGGAACTTGAAAATAGTGGATCTGATCTGGTCCAAGGGGTTTGAGTATTTTTTTCATATTTTTGAAAAAGACTTAAATCTACGGCGATTTTAATGCACGTTTTCCATATGTTTGTGTACATAATCGGCGCTCCCAAAGAAATGTCCCTTTAAGCATGAAGAACGCCTCGGACCGGGCAAGGCTGGATGTAGGAGGATGCAGGAGGACCTGGGGAACTTGAAAATTATAAGTCTGACCTGGTCCAAGGGGTTGGAATATTTTTCCATATTTTTGAAAAAGACTTAAATCTACAGCGATTTTAATGCACGCTTTTCCATATGTTTGTGTACATAATCGGTGCTCTCAAAGAAATGTCCCTTTAAGCACGAAGAACGTCTTGGACCGGGCAAAGCTGGATGTAGGAGGATGCAGGAGGACCGGAGGAACTTGAAAATAGTGGATCTGACCTGGTCCAAGGGGTTGGAGTATTTTTTTCATATTTTTGAAAAAGACTTAAATCTACGGCGATTTTAATGCACGTTTTTCCATATGTTTGTGTACATAATCGGCGCTCCCAAAGAAATATCCCTTTAAGCATGAAGAACGCCTTGGACCGGGCAAGGCTGGATGTAGGAGGATGCAGGAGGACCTGGGGAACTTGAAAATTATAAGTCTGACCTGGTCCAAGGGGTTGGAATATTTCTTCCATATTTTTGAAAAAGACTTAAATCTACGGCGATTTTAATGCACGTTTTTCCATATGTTTGTGTACATAATCGGTGCTCTCAAAGAAATCTCCCTTTAAGCACGAAGAACGTCTTGGACCGGGCAAGGCTGGATGTAGGAGGATGCAGGAGGACCTGAGGAACTGGAAAATAGTGAGTCTGACCTGGTCCAAGGGGTTAAAAATATTGGTTTCATATTTTTGAAAAAGACTTTAAATTTACGGCGATTTTAATGCACGTTTTTCCATATGTTTATGTACATAATCGGCGCTCCCAAAGAAATGCCCCTTTAAGCATGAAGAACGCCTTGGACCGGGCAATGCTGGATGTAGAAGGATGCAGGAGAACCTGGGGAACTTGAAAATAATAAGTCTGACCTGGTCCAAGGGGTTGGAATATTTTTTTCATATTTTTGAAAAAGATTGAAATCTACGGCTATTTTAATGCACGTTTTCCCCTATGTTTGTGTACATAATCGGTGCTCTCAAAGAAATCTCCCTTTAAGCACGAAGAACGTCTTGGACCGGGCAAGGCTGGATGTAGGAGGATGCAGGAGGACCTGAGGAACTGGAAAATAGTGAGTCTGACCTGGTCCAAGGGGTTAAAATATTGGTTTCATATTTCTGAAAAAGACTTAAATCTACGGCGATTTTAATGCACGTTTTTCCATATGTTTGTGTACATAATCGGCGCTCCCAAAGAAATGCCCCTTTAAGCATGAAGAACGCCTTGGACCGGGCAAGGCTGGATGTAGAAGGATGCAGGAGGACCTGGGAAACTTGAAAATAATAAGTCTGACCTGGTCCAAGGGGTTGGAATATTGTTTTCATATTTTTGAAAAAGATTGAAATCTACGGCTATTTTAATGCACGTTTTCCCCTATGTTTGTGTACATAATCGGTGCTCTCAAAGAAATCTCCCTTTAAGCACGAAGAACGTCTTGGACCGGGCAAGGCTGGATGTAGGAGGATGCAGGAGGACCTGAGGAACTGGAAAATAGTGAGTCTGACCTGGTCCAAGGGGTTGAAATATTGGTTTCATATTTTTGAAAAAGACTTTAAATCTACGGCGATTTTAATGCACGTTTTTCCATATGTTTGTGTACAAAATCGGCGCTCTCAAAGAAATTCCTTTTAATCATGAAGAACGCCGCTTGGA